GGAGAGGGGAAGAGTTTGGGGAGACTGAGATGGAGTGGGAGGGACAGGGATATACTGGGAGGGACTGGGATGGTAATTGGGACATAGTGGGAGGGACTGGGATGAACTGGGAGGGACTGGGATGGACTGGGAGGGACTGGGAGAGGTTTGGTCAACAGGTCTACCCATAGAAGTCAATGGGAGAAGAAAACACATTGGGGTCAATGGGAAACAATGGGAATAATGGAGAACAGGAGGGACTGGGAGGGCACTGGGATGGACTGGGAGGGACTGGGATGGACTGGGAGGACACTGGGATGGAACTGGAAGGGACTGGGATGGACTGGGTTTACCCATAGGAGTCTATAGGGATCAAAGGGGATCAATGGGAGATGTCAAACCATAAAGATCAATAGGCGAGGAAAAGGATTGGGGGGACTGGGAGGGTACTGGGATATACTGGGAGAGCACTGGAATATACTGGGAGGGAACTGGGAAGGACTGGGATGGACTGGGAGAGGTTTGGTCAACAGGTCTACCCATAGAAGTCAATGGGAGGAGAAAAAGGGACTGGGATGAACTGGGAGGGACTGGGATGAACTGGGAGGGACTGGGATGAACTGGGAGGGACTGGGATGAACTGGGAGGGACTGGGATGAACTGGGAGTTGTTTTCCCCCTCAGGAACTGGAGGCCATCAAGGCTCGAGTGAGAGAAATGGAAGAAGAAGCTGAAAAATTAAAAGAATTACAAAACGAAGTGGAAAAACAGATGAATATGAGTCCTCCCCCAGGGAACGGTGAGAAAATCCCAAAATTTGGATTTTTAACCCCAAAATTCCTTCTGGAAATCCAAAAATTTGGTCTGAGGAGCCAAAAATTCCTGCCAGGACTAAGCAAAAATTTTTTGAGCACCAAAATTCCTTCAAAATCCCTTTAAATTCCCAAAAATTTCTGAATTTTCTTCCAGGATTCCAAAAAATTTCCTCAAATTTCTTCCAAAATACTCTCAAAATTTCTGTCATATTGATCCAAAAATTTGCCAAATTTTGCCCTAATTTGACCAAACGTTTGCTAGAATTTTGCCCAATTTTTGCCTAAATTTCACCCAAATTTTGCCTAAATTCCCCAAGTTGTCTCAAAATTTTTTTGCTTTTCAAAATTCTTTCAAAAGTTCTGTAATTTTGATCTAAAAATCTCTAAAAATACCGGAAAAATCATCTAATTTTCCCGAATTGTACCAAAATTTAATCAAAATTTTGCCCAATTTTACCCAAATTTTGCCAAATTACCACCAAATTTTCTCTGAATGTCCCCCAAATTTTCCCAAATTTCCCAAATTTTGTTAAAATTCCCAAATTTTTCTATTTTCAGCCGGCCCTGTCATCATGTCCCTGGAGGAGAAAATGGAGGCCGACGCTCGTTCCATCTACGTCGGCAACGTAAGACCCCAAAAATTCTTCTTTTTTCCCCAAATTTTTGGCTATTTTTTCCAAATTTTCGAAATTTTCAATTTTAAAATTTATTTTTTTACAAATTTTTGCTCAAATTTTGGATTTTTCAGGTGGATTACGGCGCGACGGCCGAGGAATTGGAGGCTCATTTTCACGGCTGCGGCTCCGTCAATCGCGTCACCATTTTGTGTGACAAGTACAGTGGCCACCCCAAGGGGTAAAGAGGACCAGTCCAAACCAGTTCCCTCCCAGTCCATCCCAGTC